AAGCCGTGTGTCGAGGTGAGCCCGACTATATCTAGTCAGAACTTCACAACCTCGCGTACCAGCTCAGGCTCCTTCCCAGTCAGAGAGGTGACATTCCATGTCCCTAGAGCTAGATTCTGCAGCCGAGGATCGGACCGCCAAGGTCCCTGCCTTTGGCCATTGCCCAGCTCACATCACACCCAACCCCTATGGCCCCTCCTATAGGTGGTGAGCCCATTGGAGGTATAGTGAAATCATCCAACAAATTAAGAGTCTTGCTTAGGGTTAGGGTGAAATCGCAATCGCTTTGCAAACCCTGGGATTTGAAGTGCCAACCTTCTGAACACAGGTATAGAATCCTAACCTGCTGAGAATCACACCAATTTTTGGAATCAAATTCGAATTTTTTAAAAGTGTCAAACAATAGACCTTTAAACCAGATAAAATAAACATACATTTGTTTCAGAATGGCTAATTTTCACAGTATAACAACATTTAAATCGCACATGTATAGCTGAATCCTTAGATCAGAAAAAGGCATTAGTCTTATGAACACATCTGTTGATTTGAAACTACGATTTTTCTGCCACAGGTCCAGTCTAAACATACAAACTCTCAGCATTGTTAACAGGTCTACAGGATCACAATGAGTGTCAATTGTGAATTGATGCTATTAAGGCTGCAGCGACTAGTAAATGTAGTCAATGTCGATGCTGAAAATGTGTCGACGTCAATATTTTAAATTGACGCATGGATATAACTACGCTTAGAGATTGAGACCATTATCATTTCTAAGAGGCTTCAATTCATTATAACACATTTTTCTTTACTATTACTATGTAATTATGGGAGTAGTTCAAATTATAACAACAAAAAGTTGGTTTTACACTGTGCAAAGTTCGATGGCATACTGCATGAGCACCAGCACTATGCACGAGCACCTGAAGAGAAAACACACAGGTGCTATTCTGGACCCCCAGAATAATCAAAACCACCATAAGTGCTGTCTTTTAGTGTTTAGTGTGCGTTTGTGCGCATTGGACTTGGGACTAGAGCTGCCACAATTTTAGTTGATTATTAATTGTCAAATAATTGCAATTAACAATTTGTCTTTTTCTGTTCATTTTATGACACTGTCAGCCTAGAGTTAGCCTAATCAGTTTTATATTACATATACAGCTTAAGAACTTAATGTTGAATATTGAAACATTTAAATAAAAATTGCTTTTTTGTATACAGTCATATTTGTATAGAGATGTGCATAACTGGTATGCAATTATGCTTTCGTCCTATATGAAAAAGCATATTTATTCTATGTGCATATGACAAGAAATTACTACGTTTTAGTCTTTATAAAATGAAAGAAGTACAAACTAGCCATATAAAGGTTAAAAGGCATGGTAATATCTTCTCATAACAGCACAAATGCATATAAAATACATACGCATTTACACTGCTACAACAAGAAATTGCCAGATGTATCGCTTTACACTGAATCCATACTCGCGTACCAGTTATGTGCATCCGGTTTATATCACTCCAAAGTGGGATCAGAAATAAATGGATAAAATAACACACATTTCACTAGTTCTTTGTCATATCAATACTAAAGAAAAAAGAAATATACAAAAGAAATACTAACGGGATCAGGCTGGGTCATGAAAATGCTGTGAAATTTGCCATGAAGTGCAATGCTGAGCATGCGCAGACGTGTGAGGTTCAAATAGGGCTGGTGGTATGCATCTGATCAGAAGCACAACGAGATGATGTCATTAAACAAGCGCCAGTCAATCATTACACGGCACAAAACAATGTGGAAATAGAAATGATGGTTCTGTCTCATCCAGCTACTTTTATAAAGATGAATGAAGACTATTCTAATGATTTTGCAAACACAATCACGGTCAGTTCAAATAATCGCAATCAGGCCTAGTCGGGGCCAATGTCATTATCGTAAACTGAAGCTGAAACAAAAACGGACACTAAAAAGAAAATTTGTGAACTGAAATAAAAATGAAAACTATATTTACAAAAAAAAATGTGTCAAACTATAATCAGCAAAAAGCAGCACCACACAACCAACATTTATACCTTGTTTATCCACAATATCTCCTCTTTTAAAGATGTTTGACTGCTGAGCTCTCCCATTCTTGACTGCAGTGCTTATTGCTTCCATGATTTACCAAAACAATCATATGTGAAGTGCTCCGCTAACCAAATTTAATAAGCATAAGGATATGCCGAATGTATACAGATTACTCACTTTTGGCTGTCACAATACATATCTCATTAACATTTTAGGCATACTACTAATTTGCTTATCGAATTGTGGGCGAAAATAATGTCCATATAGTGCCAAAAAGCCAGCGTCCCTTATCTAAAGCCCTGCAATAACAGAGTTTGTTGCTGTCAAAATAAAATTAACTTAAACGGTCTCTTTCATTTTCTGGGGGAAAATTAATCGTTTAGATTAACTGACCAATCTGTGAAATAGTAGATAGATTAATCCACACAAAAAAATAGTTAGTGGCAGCCCTTGATGCTATATTTTTCATCATAAGAAGCTGTCTCAACCCAGGCAGAAGTTGCAAGTATTCTTACTTGCTTTTATTGAAACACTTTCAAGCAGTTATTAGCAGTGACACATTTCCCTTACATATAGCAAATCTGAATGATGATGAGAATGACAAACTTTGTATTCAAAAAGGACTATTCTGAAAGAAGCATTCTTCTATCTCAAACAGTGAAATGGGTTATTTCCATTCATTTATTCTATTAATAGTTAGTTCCATCAATTCAGCTTAATTACCAACTTATACAGAATTAAGGGGGATGATAAAATCAATAGACTGCCACTGATAAAATCAGTAACCAGCCAATGCTAAAATCTGGATACATTTAACAGGTAGTTTGTTATAAATTTCAGACTCAGCATTCCAATGGTATAATGAGGCAGTAATTAATGTTACTTTAGATTGATTCTTCAGACATAAAATTGAAAAGGCTATCTTGAGAATTGAGAAAAGGAGACTTTTACAGTCTAGAGAAAATTTCCTCATATAAAAGGCAGGGTTTTAGAGAAATATGTGAGAACCATTGCTCAAGGATAAATTGGTGTTAGGTGATGACACAGCAAATACACAACTGATCTTCAAAACAATTTAGACATCTGTTTTAACAGCTCTTAAGATACAATACTCATTCATGACATAAGCAAGGTCACATCACAAAAAGGGACACTATTTGGAAACTACAGCATAATTTCTAAGGATAGTTAAAAAAATGTTCAATGCTATCAATGTTAGTCACCAGTACCACGAATTTGGTGAGAAAACTAAATGGCATTTGATGATTTAAAAATACATACAAATCATCAGAAAGTTGACAAAAAGCAAAATTATCTGAAACAGATGGGTTATTTGGATTGGTTTTAGATTTTAAACGTGTCCTAGATACACTATTCAGTAATATGGCTCTCTCGGTGCATCCCTGCCATTAATGTGCAATTTCACAGAATTTCAGCAGTCTGCAATCATGAACTTTCGGAATGCATCATTTTAATTTATCAAAAATTAACCGCCACCAAAGTAAAACAAATGCCTTACACATTAAACATTATCTAAAGCCATTTAACCCCACAATGAAGAATAAAACAAGAATTTTGCCACAAAAATATTCTAACATTAAAGATATTAACTCCTATATACACAGAAAATTAGAAATATTCTGATATATTCTCCAGCCTGAATGGTGTTCTTGTCTCTCCCAATGCATAGTACATGACACTGTCCATTTCCTAAATGCCCAAGTCCCTGTGATGGTCAAACAAACATACAAACAAAAAGCATAATCATCCTAAACCATAAACATGTACCTGAACCAAGGTGAGTGCTGCAGCCACCCTAATGGACTGCTTGACATCAGCGCCTCTCTAAACATTAAATTAAAATTTCCAAAGCTCTATAACAATTAACTACAAAATCAACTACAGCTTCGTACTTAGGGGTTATGACTGACAGCGATATTTGAAAATGAGCCATGTGAATTTCTACAACGCTCTTCTGGCCTCATTCCCACTTTTCCAGGTGGTATCCAAGAACTCCCATTTTCCCCTAATACAATAACAGAAAATGCTCTGCGATATGCACCTCGACGGCACCTGCTACCTCCACAGATATCTGTGGTAACACACCAACATTTCTGGAAAGTATGGTTACCCTTACAACACACACTAAACACACAAACAGAATACACTGACACAGAGACACATTAGCACACAGACACACGGAGAAAAACAGACTTGCACACTAAATACACCAACACACACACGATAATGCGTTACGTATTCATACATAGTGTATGACACAAGCACGCCGACACGGCGTAGCAAGCGGGCTACCATAAACCAAAACATGCAACCTAAACACTGAGTGAAATGGATAAAAACAGCTCGACTTTCACAATTTCAGAAAATCGAATAAATAACCTAATAGCCGGAAGCAACCCACTAACGTTACTGTTAGATGAGTCCAATTAATCGTAACAAATGGGATACACATCGTAAACATAAGATATAATTTTCCACGTCGGTGTCGTAAACAGTCACCTACACATTACTGACAGCCAGCTAGAGATGGCTGGTTACGTCGCAAGCATACGAGGTTATTAGCACACCAAAAGCGAATCTTTCACGGTTAACGTAACCAGACCAGAACACGACGATAACAACAGCGCGGTCGGTCAAACGTTGCAGTTTTTGTCGAGCATCGCAAATGTTGTAAACAGGTAACGCTAGTAAACTCACTGAAGTAAACGCCACGGTTAATATGGCAGTAATGACACTAGCTAACGCAGCAGCTAGCCAGCCTGTGGCTAATTTAGAACAGCGCACCGCTTACCGTACGGATTCACGGCCGACTTTAACCAGTCTTTTGGTAGAATCATTTTAACAGGTTGCTAGCTAACCAGCTAACTAGAGCAGACGGCCGTGCTAATGGAAATAGCGAGCTGACAGCACTCACCAGGAGTAGCTCTGTTCCGCCATGTCGCCGAAAACAGAGGGTTTCGCTGCTGCAGCAAATAATCAGGGTCCCTTTCTCCCGGACACAGGACCGGGCGAATGTATTGTTTTTAATTTCAGAGGCGCTTTCTTAGCACTCTCCGCTTGACAAAAACATGACGGTGTTTCTTTCGTTTTCAGAAAAGGCGGCGATAACAACAAATAAAGCGCCCTTCCGAAAATACACCCAGCCTTCGCCTAGGCGAGCCCCGTGGGGTGTCTGCCCTGCGAAGCCGGAACGCTATTCTCTCTTTTTCGCCTCCTAGTCACCGTGCAGATCAGTTCCCATCGCTGTCTCTCGGCGCGTCGGAACACGGTCCCCGGATCCAGCTCTCGAACGCGAACCGCGCCGATTGCTTTGTTTCCAGCCTCCGAGTCGCAGGCGCGGGTGCGCGCGGGCTAGTGCCCTTGCTTGTAACGGTGTAAAGGAACGCGCCCGTAACGCTGCGACGGCCGCTTACGCGCACGTTCGCGTTGCCATTTTGCTGCCTGCAGATGAGGATGCTGTGAGGAATGGGAAGTGCATATGGATTAGTTTGGAGGGATTCGATAGCAGATTCATTTATTGCTCTTATTATAATCCACTTATTTATAATTTCATGAAATTATCAAATTAATAAATTTATAAGCATCAGCGAATGTGCTGGGAAACGTTTATTTAAATAGTTTTAATTAAACTCTATTTTATTTGTGTTAATGTGGTGTATAAACAATTATTAAGTAAAAAAAAAAATGAAGCCATCTATTTCCACGATCACAGTTTGTATACCCATCAGTCCAGGTTTTTATTGAAGTGAAAATGTATTCCATATATATGTGCTGTAACACACGTGCTGTGTCCTTTTTCCTAATGTTGGACATTTCAGCATTTTTAAAGCCTTTTTCCAATTCTACAAAATCACAAATACATTAACCACGGCAGAGACAAATTCAGACCTATTCAAACTATTAAATAGATCAGAGAATGGATGTACCATGTATGCATTGTATGTCACAGTGGAAGATGAGGTGGAAATGGATGCCATAATTATAGTGTACAATATCATCTCAACTTGCACTACAATGAAAAAGCTCTTCCTGCTCTAATTTATGGTTCTTGCACTCTGGTAATTTTCTGTATAATTGTCTTCTGTAAATTTTCTGTATTTTTATTTGTAGTCCTAGTTTTAGACATACTGACATAGTTTTTTGTGAAGCTTTACTTTTGTAGGACCAAATGAACAAAGAGAACGAATAATCTGTCTGCCTCTGATTTCCTCTGATTTCGCACATACCTGTCTGACACAGCTGTTTTAGCATACTGTATCGCTAGCTTTGAGTGCTGAATGGCTGGGCCTGAGTTCCACCTTGGGGGGCCCCAGGACCACCCAGGCTAACCCATGCTGCCATGTTAGCTGTTGGGCCCTTGAGCAAGAACCTTCACCCCAATCATTCCAGGGACTTCAGACAAAGGCATTTGATAATTAAGTAAATAGCTCTTTTTATTTGCAGTTTTACAGAATGCAACCGCAAGACATATCACATATGCAAAAATGACTTTAAAAATAAACAATGACCATTAACATAAGCACATACAGTAATCAGTAATTGGGGCAAATTTTGTTTGGGATTTCTTTCTTAATGCGGCAATAATTTCAACATGGGAGTGCCATTTATTTTATAAAAACTGAGTGCTTTAGGAAAGGCAGTTATTAGTAAATGTTTAATGAGCAGTCAAAAATAACTACGGAAAATGTATCACATATGAAAAATTTTAATTCAAATTGTAAGAATAATCATTTTACAGAATAATCATACATTTTATGTATTATGACTTAAATTCTTCTTGAGCTGGAGTCTCAGTCCTCTCTTTAACATTGGAAAGGATTCTATACTTCTCAGATGAAGAAGCAGAAACTCATACCAGTACACATAAAAAAGATACTGATACCCAGCTTTTTTGACATGGAACAATTCGACATTCTTACATGAGGCCCATGATGTTGATTGGCTGTGGGGTTTGATGAAGCCTTAAAGGTGAGATGATGATGATGATGTTTCTTTGGCATCCCTGTATGTCAGGTTGCTAACTGTCAGACCTATGGGCTCCAGCTGGTAGACAATGGCTGTAGACTTGGAGGAATGTAGTGCAAGCATTTGTGAATGGAAAAAAGATCTCATATAGCAAATGGAGCAGTATGCTAGGTGAGAATAGTTGGGTGGATCATAAGTTAACAGTGGGATAATATAATAGCTGAAAATGTGGATAGAGAGCCATGTCAAATAACCTGCTATAGGAGCAGAAGGTATACATCCAACTGGGATTATTACAGTGCCTTTCCATTTTAGATAGGTTTCATAGAAAGATCTGGGGGGTATTCCATGAAGCAGGCTTAAGGGAAAGTCTGACTTATTTCGACAGTCAGTCTTACTTAAGTGAGAGTTCCGTTCCATCAACGTGTCTTAAATAAATCCCCATTGAATTACCACGGTAATTTAGGCCTGCGAACAAGCCTGTTATGGACCAGGCTAACTCTCGCTTAGTTTAGCGTTGTCTCAAAGACCGTCCGACGTGTGGGAACAGATTCCCAAAAGATCGTTCCGTCGGACGAAATTCCGCGATCTTACTATTCATGTCATGTAATCTGTTGAATTATATATATGTCCTCATCTGACATTATATTTTACATTATCCGATTGAATTTTTTTGTTAATCTGCAAGGTATACCAGAATGACATGATTTTGTTTGAGTTAGCGGGAGAATGAGTCTTGTATATACGTATATAAAAAAAATGGAACCCTGTAGAGAATAAGCAGAGAATAAAAACCATCTTTTCTGAAGTAATTGCTCTGCGTGATACTTCCATAATATGGAGAACAGAGCTGAGATTGCTACATGATCAATATAATAAAGCCTATAAAATCACGTCTTAGCATTCCAATTAATTCCAAAATAATTACAGTAAAATCCCGTTATAGTGGACTCGCTAATTATAACGGAATATCGTCTATAACGGACGAGGTCCACTGGTCCCGGCCGTGAGCCTTTTAAGAACATGCAGAAAAAGCATCGGATATAGCGGACTCGTATATAACGGAATTTCGCTTATAATGGACAAACAATTTGGTCCCCAGGGCCGCTTTTAGCTGTAGTTCTGTTCGGCTATAACGGACATGCAGTTCTGCCTACAAGGCGTGTGGCGTGCCGGTGATACCCAGTGCAGATACGTACGTAGTCGGGATTATTAATAGTCACGCATCTGGTCAGGTAAAGTTGGATTACTACATGTACAATATAATAATCTATACCACAAGTGTGTATGCTGAGGTGTGGCATTACTAAATGGTGTCCTGTAGTTGTGTTCTGGGCATACAGCAACTCTGGATGTAAAGTACTGTTTTGCCAGGCCCCTTGAAGTCCGTTATAACGGTATTTTACTGTAAAATAAAAACCTTACGCATATTACAAAGGTGAAACATGAAATGCAATGACTGTAATTGGGAAAAAAAATCCGTTAAAATAATACGAACAGGAAGATATCTTTATATTTTTAGTCACTGTCTACTTTGAAAGTTTACTACTAAAATAGCAAAGACAACATACGGTTATTTGTGCAGAACATTTCACATGGATGTGATTTAAAGTATTTTGCGGAGATCAAATAATATTACAAAGTAAGAATGATAGGCGAAATTAACCCAGAAGGTCCCTCATTGGCTATGGGGATCGAACTAGCAACTTTCGCATTATAAGGCGACAGCATAAACCACTTTACCACCATGCCACTGTACTAAGCTCTTCTAACATTTACGTAACTTATGCATTTAGTTTGTCTGCAATTCATTGCCAAGCCAACTCCCTGGCTGTGTTTATGGCCACCGTTTTGCCTTTTTTTTAAGGATTACATCTTTGTATTTTTCATACAGCTCCATCAGCAGCATTTATTCTGCGGCGGAAAGAAAAACCGCTCTCGTTTTACAGGCTTTCCGAATCATTTGGTCGATCTATCGTTCATCCATTTATTTGGGCTTCTTAAATATCGCAGGTGTGCAAGTCTGTCTTGAATGAACCTTGATTAATTAAAACTGAACTGCGTTCGTGGAACGACGTGAGGCTAAGTTTAGAGATGGAGGTAGGTTGAGTCTGACTTTTTCGGGAAAGTCTGCCTTTTTTTTAAGCTACTTTAATGGAATACCACCCTGATGATCAGTGGCACAAAACATTGCAGGTATATTCAGTAGGATGAAAATGTAGTAGAATGCATAGGGGTGTCCCACAAAGAAGGATTTCTCAGTTACCTGGGTTAACTTAAGCTAGATGTCATGATTGTCCAATAAGAATGCTCCTTACATAAACTCTGATTGGGCAATCATCACTTCTAGCATAACCCAGCTGATTTAGAAATCCAGCTTTGTGGAACACCCCCCACATACTTTAGCGGTGTGGAGAGCCTTGGAAACTGCAAGACAGATTTGGTGTTGTGTACTGTTTGGTGTTGAGGTCTGATCAAAGACTGAAAATTCACTAGTTCATTCTGGGTAAAGAAAATGTAGATAGTTGATTCTAGAGTGTTTTTGTAACTAAACCCCAAGCCTGGAGTATCCTGATGATTCCTGTTACCCCAGTATGATTTGAGACTGTTCCAAAGAGCATCTTGTGATGTTACTAAATGCTTAATTTTCTCAGTGTGTAAGTATCCCCATAAATGTTTGATGAGGAATAACTGTCTTCAATGGCAGTTATGGAACTTGTAGAAGGGATATCGAATGCAATAGATAATAAGGAATATACTGTTGGTGTTTTTATAGACTTAAAAAAGGCGTTTGATACAATTGATCATTCTATATTAATGAATAAACTACAGAGATATGGTATAAGAGGGATAGTTTACAAGTGGATGCAAAGTTACCTGGATGATAGATATCAATATGTCGAAATTAATAATGTAAAATCTAATAAGATGAAGGGAAATTGTGGTGTTCCTCAGGGCTCTGTGTTGGGCCCTAAGTTATTCATATTATATATAAATGATATATGTAGTGTTTCCAATTTGTTAAAATGTGTATTGTTTGCTGATGATACTACTCTGTATTGTTCAGGTAAAAACCTAAAACAGCTTCTGACTACGGTGGAAAAGGAGTTAAATATATTAAAAAACTGGTTTGATATAAATAAGTTAACGCTAAA